GAGGAGTGGCTGACACACCAGAAGGCTGTGCTGCCATTCAGAGAGACCTAGACAGGCTAGAGGGCTGGACAGGGAGAAATCTTATGAAATACAACAAGGGCGAGTGTGGAGTCTTGCATCTGGGAAAGAATAACCCCATGTACCTGTATAGGTTGGGGACTGACCTGTTGGAGAGCAGCATAGGTGAAAAGGATCTGGGGATCCTGGTGGACAACAGGATGACCATGAGCCAGCAATGTGTCCTTGAGGCCAAATATAAAAGGGATGAATGTCAGAAGGACGGTGCCAGGCTCTTCTCAGTAATGTCTAATGACTGGACAAGGTGCAATGGGTGCAAGCTGGAACATAGGAGGTTCCACATAAACATAAGGGAAAACTTTTTCACTGTGTCACAGGTTAGCACTGGGCCGGCCACTAAACATGGACAGATGCTTTCTAACCCCCTCTTTCCCCTCCAAAACAAGAAGGAAAAGGGAATTAGGCAGAGAGACTTACAGGTTAGAGAAGAAAAACTAGAACAGCTTTAATGAAACGATAATGGAAATAATAATGAAATGATAAAAATAAAGTACTATATACAACTATACATAAGCTAGATATCAAACCCAACTTCCCCTCTGATAGCAACTGATGCTGCAGAGCAGGAGGCACTGGAGAAGCCCCAGGCTCAGCGGTGGTGGGGACCTAGATAAAGGAGGTCAGACAGAGTCCTCCCTGGACACCGGCCATTGCAGAAAAGAGTATAAACTCTTGTGATCACTCAATTTGTGCTAAATATGATGTACATGGGATGGAATACTCTTGTTCGTCACCTGTCCTGTCTATTACCCCCTGGAGGTGCAACCTTTTCCTTCCTTGTGACCCCTCTTACTACTCAGCACCCCCAGCAGGGCACGCAAGAGCCAGCAGTGGCCTTGGTCACTATAGGAATAAGTATCAGCAAGAGCCTTTCTGCATCCCAGTCCCAGGCAGTAACTGTAAACATCAAGTGTTATCACTGCCAGTAGCACACACTGTCTGCAAAAACATGCTGCAGACTACAGAAAGTGCAGCCCTTTAGAAGAGACTAAACTGGAAAGTAAAACTCAACTGGGGTTTTAGCTAAAACCAAGACACGCTGTGATGAGGACAGAGCACTGGAACAGGCTGCCCAGAGAGGTTGTGGAGTCTCCTTCTCTGGAGACTTTCAAAACCCGCTTGGAACTGTTCCTGTGTGACCTACTCTGGGTGACCTACATTGGCAAGGAGGTTGGACTAGGCAATCTTTCGAGATCCCTTCTAACCCCTAACATTTTGTGATTCTTTAAGTGTATTTGGACTATACTACTCTCTTATTAGGCTCCATAAGAGCTATACCAGACTAGTAGAAGCCAATTCAAAACTGTCAGGTCCATTTCGTACCTTCATTCAGTAGAAAGACCATCCTTTGAATTTGCTGGGAGTTTTATGTAAAAATCAGTACCAGAGAATGTTCCTAATTTTCCATCCCACATGAAAGATAATTTTAGGTAGAAGGGATTAGTGGTTCTTTCCTTTTCCCTAGTGAACAATCAGAGACTACACTGTTGTAAAATTTGCCAAAAAAAATAAAATATTTTAAAGCCATATTCATGCATCACAGTGTATCATTTGCACCTACTGTACTTCCTAGACTTTTTAGTTGTGCCTTACATAGTCCTGATGTGAAAGAGGCTCAGAAGTTTCACTGTGTGTTTTAGGGGAAGACAATTTATTGATTGAGAAATAAAATTTTAATATTTTGTTTGCTACATTTAATGTCATAAACTAAATTATTCCTTTCTGTAGGAAAGGAATTTTCCCACAGTTTCTTTTCTCTTTGCTCTTCTTGGCCCTGGTCCTGCATTATGAAAGGACCTCTCTGAATCAATACTGATATAAGAATCCACATAGGGATAGTCTGACTACATGAGTGAGAAAACAGGTAAGGACATGTATTTATTAAATCAGAACACTTCTGTGAATGTCACAAGTCTCTTACTACCTATTTCAAATAAGTATTTAGCTCTGAGTTAGATAAGTATCTGGTTAAACTGAGAAAAAGTGGAAAGTCAGAATTTGGAAGAGCTCAGATTGCTCATGCTGTAACACTCTGTCAGCTGAACTAAGCCCATAGTATATAATTCTCCTATGCAATTTGTTCCCCAGGAGTAGATGGGTGAGATGATGCATTGAAAGTTTCCTTATATTGCTTCATTTTCTAAATACCTACTTTTGCATTTCAACATATAGCTCCATCAGCCCTCCCAGACGCAAGCGGGACAAGCAGCCTCACAACCCAATCTCCTGCATTTGGCTCACAATCAAGCATCTATGTCTCAAAGCCCAGTGCGTCAGGCTTCCTCTTCTTCCTCCTCATCCTCCTCCTCTTCAGCTTTGAGTGTTGGCCAGTTAGTCAGCAGTAAGTATTGCTCCTTGTCTATCCTTAATGCACCTCTCTGTTTATCCTCCTCACTACTGAGTTCCCTGATCTGCTTTCACGCTGTTTTTAATTTTTATACACTAGACTTTATATTGCTAAGCAGAGTGACTCTTAACAGCGAGAACTGCTAAGTTCTGTCGTGGATAGGGCTTAAGGTAAACATGCCTTAAGAAATCATAATCAGTGTTAAAAATGATCATAAAAATGGTTGCAGCCATTAATTGATTTATGAGGGCAATTCCTCTAATTGAAATGTAGCTTAAGTTCTTTGGAAACGAGAAGATTTTGAATCAGTCAATATAATGAATTATATGTATATTATAAATATCTTATATTATAAGTTTATAAATATCTAAAGGTCAGGTGTCAAGAGGATGGGGCCAGACTCTTCTCAGTGCCATCCAGTGACAGGACAAGGTCACAAACTGGAAAACAGGAAGCTCAACCTAAACGTAAGGAAATATTTCTTTACTGTGAATATGAGAGCACTGGAACAGGCTGCCCAGAGAGGCTGGGGAGTCTCCATTTCTGGAGACATTCAAAACCCGTCTGGTGTGTTCCCGTGTGTTCCTCTAGGTGATCCTCCTTTAGCAGGGACATTGGACTAGATGATCTTCCAACTCCTACCATTCTGTGAATCTGTGGGTTTGCTCAGAATGTGGTGGGCAGACAAATCTTCCTTTAGTTAGGCTGCTTGTTCTTTACTGTTTGTTTGCTTAGTGTGCAAATCATTTTAAAACCCCTAGCACTGCACAAATCTAGAGGATGATTTTTCTTGTCAGAAAAAGCTTGCACAATTTAAACAAGAATAGTGAAACAACTGAGTTTCAGTGTTAGGATTATAACAGCTGACTGCCTGAACAGCCCTTTGTTCCAGATCATATAGTTCAGAGTTTTTACTATTACCTTATCAGCATTAACATTTGTCTTTATATAGCAAAACCAACAGGTTAAAGTATACATAAGAAGCATTAACAGTTTTTTGCACATCCGCAAAAATCTGGGTGTGCTGGATGACCTTGTTCAAAAATACCCCATGTACATATTTCAAGTAAACAAACACTATAGCTCGTGCTGTATTGGTAATGTAAAATATATGACTGATACAAGCTTATGAAGGGCTTGGAGAAACTATAATGCAAGGGAAGATGTGGAAGAATCTTTGTTAGATTATTTCAGAGATTGTTCACAAGGGGAAATTACTACATAAAGTTACCCCTTGTCTATGTGGGAAAATTGACTAAAATAGCTAGTGCAGAGTAAGTTACTTACAAATGGCTCATCCAGAATAGCCTTCCTTGTGGATATTCTTATTAGAAAAATATTCTAGAATAACTGTCGTGGGGCAGAGTACTCCTCAATAGTTATTCCAGTCAGTTTCCCCATGTGAATAAGTGCACTACACAATAAAAACCACATAGAAGACCTTTTAAGTTTACGGTATAAATCCATCAAAAGTTAGGAGATGCTAGAAAAATAGTTGCTTGCTCAACTGTGTGCAGTTCCTTTTAGAACACATAATCTATGGTAACTATATACATTATGATTAAAATAATGCAATCATGATTTTTTTCTCATCCTTCTTCCAGTGCATTCCCAAAGGAACTGTTCTAGGGAAGCAACAGAGTTACTAATCCAGCAGGAAGGCTGTTGTCGCAGGATTTGTTCTTCACATAATTCACTAAACTGTACCCCACTTTGTACAACTTAAACATTTGAGGTAGGGAGCTGTAGAAGGGTGATGGATGGTCTTGCTTTGGGTGGTAGAGAGCTGAGAGCTGAAGCTTTCTGTCTGCCATGTAATTCCAGTGCAGTGGCAGGCAAGTCACTTAAACCAGATTTTCCACAAGTGCTCCCTCAATATCCAGCTTGAGAGGACTTTTACAGAAGAACCTGGCACTCACTTTTAAAATTTAAATTGCACTTTCACTGTGGAACTGTATAAAGAACCATTTAAAGACATAGTCTAAAAAATCATTTACTTCTTGACCTAGACTGAGTACCTAAAAATGCATTTTCCCTTACTATCTGTCTACTTCTCTGTGAATGAGAAGGGGAAGACCCTCATCTTGTAGAAACACAGGAAAATAAGTAAGGATTTTTAAAGAAAGAGAAGAGCTGAAAAAGAAATATCTTTGATGAGAAGCTCTGAAGCCACACAGTGAGCAAATAAAAAGGCAATACAACAATCATTTCCTCTGTAATGAAGCACAATTCATCCTTTGTACTGGATGAGGCAGGGGTCTAGTGAAAAACAACTGGTAATCTAGGGCTCAAAGGGTATGCTACACCGTGTTGTGGGCCACCGTAACTCCAGCATCTTGTAGCATCTGAGCGTTTATTTTGCAACTCTAGGGATGTTTAAGTGTCATTTTGTGTTTGGCTAAATTCCAAGGTTGTTACAAAAGCAGAATAGTAATGTAAATCAGTCATAGAGTAAGATAATGATTATAATCATGGATGGAAATGTAGGACCTTCTGTGGGTTCAATGGATGGAAAAGCTGGTAAGTTGTATTATCTCTCTAAAAGGACTAAGACCAGATTTGACTGAGAGCAGAGGAGTATGGTGCACAGGAGTAACAGTTTGGGGAAGGGGGAAGTACACTAACAAACATAGACTTTTTACTTGTTTCCCTCAGGCTTGTCTCTTCCACCACTTGTCATGCTCTGGTCCCATTATACCTCATGTTGTTCTCCACACGATCTGTGCTCCTTTGCTTTTGTTACTCTTGTCTTCTCCTTGCAGTCCATCATTCCTCAACTCTTCTTCCCATTTCAGTTTCCCCCCAGTTCCCAGTCAGTCTCTGTCCCCAGACCATATCTGTGTCCCTTTTAGCAGCCATTTTATTAGGTAGTTTCTGTCATCCTCTACCTTGTGTTATCAGTAGTGACACCTCTTCTTCCCTGTTCTCTTTCCTCTACCACAGTGATTACTACTCTCTGCGCAGTCATGCTCTTTCTCCCTCCACTCCAGACTCAAATACTCCTTAGGAGTCTTCAGGGTGGTTGGGGGGTTTTTTCCCTTCCATAATTTATTTTTTTTTCAGATTCAGGGTTAATTTTTGCCCACTCTGCATCCAAATCATGCACACATCACTCCCACTCTCCCTGGCAGCAATCAGAGGAGCGTGGAAAATGATCATGAAGAAGAGAGGTGAGACTGTCTTTACTGCTGTCCTGGCCCAAAGGAGACCAGAGGCACAACCATAGGAGTGGGCATTTTTTCCATCTATTCCATCAGGACAGATGAAATCTTAAAGAAGACTCCACACAGAGGTCTATCATAACTCTAACAAGTAGATATGAGCTTTGGAGGCTCATCTGCTTGGAGGCAGAGTTTTACTTGGGATAGAAAGAAGCCCACTGATGACATAAAAGCTATATCCCTGACACCTATCAAGGTCATGTTACAAGTCATATGATAACTGAAACTTCTTTAATAAAAGAGGTTATTACTTTTTTTTTTTTAAAACTAGGCAGAACAGCTCAGAAGTAGTTGACCTGAAATCTGTCTTATAATGGCAAATGCTAGGCAACTTTGCCATAGTTAGTACCCAGCCTGGGATAATGAATGTCACAGAGAAGATAGTCGGGGTGCTTCTCCCTGGCTCAAAAAAGAAGAAAACTCAATAAAATCAAGTGGGGAACTCAAAGTAAAGAAAATATTTCTCATGCAATTAGACTGAAGAAAGCATTACACATGGGAATCCATTTACTGGAACCCAGATCTTAAGAGTATTCCAAAGGAAGAGGCTATTGATAAATATCTACTGTAAAAAACACATGGTGATAGTTATACATAAATAAAAACTTATGGAATTTTTCTAAATTTATGTTTCAAGTTTGATCCAGTCATCTAGGTGGATGACCAACAGACCAAGTATTGCATGGGGCTGATCAACCCGTTTCTGTCATTTATGTAGCATTATCACACAGACAGAAGAAAAACAGTCATCTCGATGATCCTTAATGGCTATCTAGTCTTAAGAGCATGTAGCCAACCACAAACTGGAACTAACACTGCATGTGTAAGCCTACTTGAGCTGGCACATAAATGACTGTTCCACTGTACAAGAGAGCTACTTGCTGGTTTCTATTACTGTGGAAAGATCCTACAAGAAAATAGAAAATGTGGTCAGTTCAGTAGGGGAAGATTAAACCGTCTGTGTAATGAAACATGAAAAAACAGACAGGATCCTTTACAGATTTTCATTGTCATTGATAGTACCATCTTTTTAGACAAATAGTCTTAATTCATCTTCACAAATATGAAAATTGTTTCATGTGACTGAAAACCCATTTGCACAGACCTGTGACTGCACACAGGGAAACAAATAGACAGAAAGTCATCCCTGTTTTGCTCCTTTGCAGAACCCATTTAGCTTATGGGTGCCCTGAAGGGCAGGCACACCACTCTGTCAAGCGTATGGCCCATAATTGAACAAAGCCTTCTTAGCATCCCAGCTCCCACACTGGCTAGCAGAACTTTGTACAACAGAGCTACAACTGAAATCCAGTGTCTGTCCAAGCCCATTAAAAGTCTTTTAGTGGAATGAGACCTGCAATGGGTCAGTGGTTCTGAAAGAAATCCATAGGCATGAAAGGAGCAAGAAACAACTTGTGGCCTCCTGAACATCTCATTGATTGCTTTACCGCTCCTGAAGCAGGAATATTGTTGTTTCCTTTTCCTCATTCATTCTAAAGCTGCAGTCCAGCAGAGGCCCTAGAGTCAGGTACCTTGGCAGAGAATCACCATATTCCAGAAATTGGTGCTAAATATAGTAAAGTTCATGTAAAATTAAGCATATTCAACTACCTTATTCTGTTAATTGATTTGCTTGGAGCAATATAACTTCAGTAAATAATCATTTGGGACAAGATTCTGCAGACTTGCAATAAAGAGAGTAAGTCTCTTTACAGGAGGCTGCCTCATATCAGTGAAATTACTAAAGTACTAGGAAAAAGGGATCAGAATTGGCCATGTTCCTTGGTTTTGTTCCTTTTCATTCTAGTTCTTTATGATTTTACATTTTTTCTTTAGCATGCTTCCTAGTAATAAAAGGATGCATTTTTTCAGTTTTCTTTTTTTTCCTTTCCCTTTATTTTTTTTTCTGTCTTTGTTTTTTCCCTTGATTGTTATTTTCTTTATAGCTTCTCCCTTTTATCTCATTCTCACCCCTTCATTGTTCACTGGAAACAAGTGCTAATTATTTTAGAAATAAAAATCTTTCCCAAGAAATGACATTTAAAAAGAAGCTCTGCCTAAGCAAGGACCTCAAGATTCATCTCTACTCTGCCTGTCCCTTTTGTGTGAATACTTCATATTTTCTCATCCTATCTGTCTTCTCTTTTGCCTTTTTTGTTTTCGTTCTATTCTACATCATTATTCCTCCTTTTTTCCATTTCATTTTCCTCTTCTCAGATGTATCCCTCTGCTCATTTCTTTAACTTTTCCACCGTAAGTTCTCTTGGAGGAAATCACTGTTTTCCCCTCTTGCTCTGAGATTTCTGTCTGCATGAAGTTCTTTCCTTCTTCCCAAATTCATTTTACTGTCATCTATTACTATAAAATTAAAATGCCTCCCAAAAACAAATTATTCTTCTTGCTTTCCCCTGCGCTCCAGTCCATTTTCTGCTAACAATGCTTTGTCCTACCTTTCTTGACCAATTTACTTTCCATTACAGTTCCTTTGCCAGCTATTTTTACTCCTATCTGACTGGGGAAATTGTGTCCTGTAATCTCTTCTGTCATAGAACTCTGTGCAACAGAAATTTATTTTCTCTGTAGCAACTCTTTCCCCTAACTATTAAAATCACAGCATATTTGCACTCACCAACAAACTCCTGTGGGATGTTTCAGAAGAATCCAAAATGGGAGTTCTATTCCCTTTAGTAGGAAAAAAAGGGCTTTCCATGCAGGAGAGCCTTTGGATTTTACTTCTTCCACTCTGCTCATTGACTTTCACCATCCATCTGGAACGTCAGGGAGAATTTTAGCTAGCTTCCTTGTCCTAGACTCTCTGGACCCAGTAGTTTCTTAATGTACTCTGGGAGTCTTTAAATGCTGTTACTGTAGATCCCAACCACTCAATGACATTGGTATTCTTTATTTTCCTGTTGGCGCTGTGCTGCCTTCTCTAGGATATCCACTTAATTTAGAAAGCATCGGTTTATTTGCAGTCTTCAATAAGCTACTCTTCCTAAAATGTGAAGTGCTCTATACACTTATCTGTTCTGAGATCCCAGAACTTATTAAAATAAAGTCCATTATCTATTTCTGTATGTTTATGTATGTGTATGTATTAGTCCACAGAGTCCAAGATTATGTACTGATGGCACTTTAAAAACAATGGAGTAAAACAGACCAGTGCTGTTACATGATGATGTCAGTAGAGTAGTACATTTATCGATTTCAAAGAACTTTGAATCACACCCGGAGCAGAAGTTCTTCTGATTTAATATAAACACTATTTTCCCTAGAGTTCAGGGATACAAGCCTTCAGTGTTTTGGTCTATCTCTTTAAGCACTTTCCTCGTCACAAAGTTGCTATGCAAGAATGAAGCCTCTTTCTCAACAGATACTCCGCTACATATTACAACCTACACCCATATTCCTGAAATGCATCACAGGGTTTTTTCTCATCTCAAGGAGAGCTCAGCCTAATTGTTCTTTTGTCCAAGTCCCCTAGGCAGGAAAGGATTTTCCATGATATTCACAGTTGTACCAGTGCCACACCAGAAGGATCCAACAGATCTGGGCAGAATTTCTCTATAATCATGTATGAGCAAATAAACCTTTAGCTTTCTTATTTCCCTTTTTATTACTAACTGGAGTTGGGGAGGTTTATGGGTGCCAGATGCCATAGCATTTGTTACTTTTAAAGTTCTCTGGGAACACCTGAATTGCCCTTTGCCAATATCCCTAACAGCCTTAGTCAGAGGTCTTAAAATGAAGGAAGGAAAGAGGTGAGGAAGGCCACCACCTTAGTGCACTTTCCTCCAGGGAATCTTTGAGGCCTTTATGATTTATGACATTTTGTACATTTATCAGTTGCTCCTCAAAGACCCAAAGGGTGGATAAGCATCCAGCTCCATTCTGTGTCTCTGAAAATCAGAATTAGTGTGCTAGATAGACTGTATATGGGGTCAGTAGGAAAATTTCACACCTTTGAAGGCAATTACTTTACAAACCTGAGTGGCCCCTGTCATAGCACCTACTACTTAAAAGTAAATAATATGTACCTTAGATTTATACTGAAAGGGTGCATGCATGTGTGCATGGGTGAGCTCAAGCACAACACTAACAAGAGAAGAGATGATTCTGAGTGTGGAGCACTGTCAAAACTAGGTTCAGGCTGTGCATATTTGCCTGTATGTGTAGCTCATACATTCCCTGGTTGAATACATGAGTATTTTTAAAATACTATTGCTATGTGTGCTTCTTACACTCAAGCTATGAATTGACATAGGCTAAATTTATATAGCAGAAAGTCCTCTTCCATCTATTGTGGAACTAAAAGATTTTTTTACCAGACATTTCCATCACAATGGAATTTTACATCAGCTTTATAAAACCCTGAATATAAAAGCTTTGGTAAGGTAATGTTAAAAAGCCCTTAGCCATAGCAATACCAGCAAAATTCACTCTCATACAGGTTTCAGAATAGTAATGTAGTCTAGCACCATCCTTGTATAACTGCTTGCATTTACAGAAATTGATGGGTTATTGTGCTGCAGACTTTTCACCTAAGATGTCTGTTGAATGAGATGAAGAACAATAGAGATGTCTCACTGGAAGAATGGCTTCACCACATGCAGGATTGCATAACACCGTGAAATCTTCCACCATCTCAGTCCCATGCTGTCTCTGACTTGGCAAACGCTTTCATTTAGCCAGGGATCAGTAGCTCGAGGGGAAAAAAGTTCCATTCCCCAGCTGTTGTGTCATTTCCCTTGATAAGTCCTAAATTGACTGAGTTATCCAGCACCAAAGGAGCTTTCCTGTGGTAGACATGCTTTATTATGTGCCCTTTCAGGGACAAAGGCTTCTGTGTCAGTAAACTGCTATGGAGAGGAAGGACACATTTATTTGCACAGCATCATATGCATTATCTTCTAAGGGGCTAATGTCAAAGTTAAAAAACTGTGCAGCATTACCATCTGAAACTTAATGGCTGATGTTGCTGCTCCTTGATTATCAACCTGATGGGAGGCAGAATGAAAAGCTTGAAAGGCTGCCTCTCAGAAGGGCATATTTTGAAAGATAATATTTAAATTAAGGAGTTATTAAAGGCACCATTTTGTTTGGACTTGTTCACTTGCTGTGTTATTTTGGACATTTGGCTGCCAGTTTGGGCTAACCCTAATACCTAAGTATTGTGGAAAAGGGAAGAAAGGTTTGTGAATCTCCTTGTTTGACATTAATTTTAGGTAGAACGTAAAGTCTTGATTTCAAATTAAAACCCCAAGCAGTTTGTATATTTATCCCTCTCCACAGACTGCAAATAAATATACTAATACTTCCTTCTGTATGTGATAAGAATGAGAAACAGGGAACATGATCCATCAACCTGGGGAAGATTTTGCAAGGCACAAATGGCAGTGAGAAGTCCAGGCACCTCTTCACTCTGAGAAGGGCTGTCTGTTTTCAGGAGTTCAGCAAGAAAGTATGTATTTGAAAATTTTTCACCAGCACCTGGAAACACTGCAGCCTTGTTAGCATTTTAGCAATCTGAATATGTTTCATAACATACCTGACAAGGCAAGCTTGTTTCTGTTTGGGGAAGAAGAGAAAAGGATAAGTATTAAAAAAAATATGAACACGAACATCATGACAATGAAAGCTGGTGTAGGCCTAGCCTGCTCATATGTGACGTGAAGAACTGACATTAAAAAAAATAATATTTCAACAGATCCTCAAACAGCCACTGGAGAGGTGGATGGGGTGAATCTGGAAGAAATCCGTGAATTTGCCAAAGCTTTTAAAATCCGGCGCCTGTCCCTGGGCCTGACACAGACTCAAGTTGGCCAAGCCCTAAGTGCCACTGAAGGCCCAGCCTATAGCCAGTCTGCCATCTGCAGGTAATATCATAAACTCTCCTTTCTCTTTGTTCTTAATACTTACCCAGTTTATTGCAGGGAGGATGCTTGTGTTTAAGTCTTATGTTTAGAATGTATAATTTCATGTGGGAATTAAATTAGCCAATAATGTTGGTATCTGGCAGATAAAATGATCTTATTGCATACTCTAAAAGTAACTTTAGTCTTTTATTTTTCCTCTTCCTTTTTTAAACGTGATAAACAGTGATAAACAATGTTCCTGGCATTGAGACTTAATACAGTAGATGAGGTGGAGACTCTGCTGATCTTAGATAAACACCAGCTGACCCTCTTCATACTGTGCCATTTTTTACAGACAGGGTTACAGAACAATTATTTCATGGCTGCATCCCTGCTAAGTTAAAACCTGTATTACTGTGGTTAGCACTTCACATATAGGATGTTAATAATGATTTACCTAGGCAACACAGAAAGGAGAAAATTATCCTTCCTGCTATCTTGCAAACCAGCAACTATTCATCTTTTATCACCATGTTTACTAAAAAACAGACAATCCATGTATGTAAAGCAGAAGCAGAAATCTGCCCTAATCATAAGAAATGATAATGCACTCTTCACAGTAGTTAGAAGCGAACACCATGTATGTATGCATGTGTGTTACAGTAATCCCATGTTTATGCATGAGGTAACAAACATGCTTAGGTAACAGCTTTTTCCTCTTGGGCAATGCCTTATGGTCTTTCTCCATCAGTGAAAGCCAAGAAACCATCTCTAAGCTCATTTAAGTGGATTTTGTTCTTGGTGATCCATGAAATGCTCTGTCTTTTTATCTGCTCTTTATACTTCTAATGTATTCCCCATAGAACAGAAGTGTGCTTTTCCTGCAGTTTAAGACTAAGGTTATAAATAACATCAGTATGGGGTAGTGAGCTTGCAGCTCACATTTTGCTCGATGATTTTCCATAAAACCCATTGATTGTTGTTAAATATAAGAAGCTCCATAGGATCCTCTCACTTCTATGGTCTCCCCTACTGTTTTTTCTTATAAGATACCTCCCTGTAGAAAATAACCTTTATTCACTCTGTACAAGGATACTACTGCTGGGAAATTTGTTTCAAGACTTGTATATTGTTATACGAAACATATACAGCTGTATCAACACTAACAAGTAATGCCAATGATACGAATGCTATTGCGCCCTATTGCTAAGGAATAATTTTTTTTCTTCCTTGTAGTGAGTTGGTAAAGAATAGCTAAAACAGGTGGAGTTTTTAGCAATTGCCCATTTGTTGTAGACTTAAATTGTTGTTTAACATACTATAAAGTGGGAAAAATTCTCAAAACACAAGGACTGGGTGCAGAAGCTGGTCCCAAGTACTTGCAGGGGTTTTTATTTCCTTTAACAGTCCCAGATGGATATCACTTGGGGGTGTAATAACCTGCTATGACTGTGCATTTTGTGTTAAGCACCAAGACAATCTGCTTCAGTGTCAGTATGCTGTTCTGCAGAAATAGTAGGCTTAGCTTTTAATTGTAACAAAGGAGCTTCAGTACAAACTCCGGGGTAATGAAAAGGGCAGTAAGTTAAGGAACTTGAACAACCAACTCAGAGACTGAAGTAGAGTTTCCTGATAGCCTGTGCAGGTGATATCAGCAATATGCCACCTTGCTGATATAGTCTTCATGGAAATAATGGCATTTTCTTAACTTGATATAAAGCATTCTGAAGCATACACTTCAGCCTGAAACACCAAGGAAGGATGCCTTGCAGTCAATACCATGCTAGGATCCCAGGCACCAGTTACAAATTCTTTGGACTGCTAATATCTGAAATCATTGCTTGTCTTACTCTTTCTTTGTGAGAAATGCTTTATTTCTTGCTGGAATATTTTCTGCAGCTGACATGTGCTGAACAGAGATTCTAAAAAATTGCTGACTCCAGTCACCAAGTTGTTTTGCACAAAGATGTTGATTTGGTCGATTTCGTCTCCACTGCACATTGTGGTTAGCAGTGCTTTAGCACCGCATGAGTTGGAGTGTGCAGCAGCACTGCACAGCATTGCATTTCCTCAACGTTAAATATTGCCACATGCAGGGTAGACATAGGCAAAATAGTAAAATACAAATGGGTGACATCAGAGGACTTATCTTAAGACATTTTTAATGTGTAGCAAGAGAGGATGAACTTGGTAAATGAAAGAAACATGTACTTGTAAGATTTGAAATGTAAACTCAGCTTTTGCTTGTTTTTGAAAGGATTAAAGCTTCGTGTGACTGCTTTTCCAGATGTTTTATAATACTTGTAAAATCTGGTTTGGCAAAAGACTCTTGATGGCAAAATGATATATAGAAGACCTCATTTACAGGAAATGATATCATTCTGGTGCAGTTTGCAGAAATCCCACAATAAACATGGTGCCACGGTATATTAGTAGATTATTATACTGGATTTCATCTGGAAAACGTAAGTCTGTCTTTGCACATTGTGGGGGCAGTCAAGATAATTGCAAAATGTCCAGCTGTTTCAGCTGAACACCACCGTAGCTGTGGGAGTCTTTTTCCAACCCAGAAACGGAATATAGCATTAACTTGCAAACAGTGAAAATGGCTGAAAAATGAAAGGAAAGGAAATCTGATATTCAGAGGCCATTGGTTTGCGTTATTAAAGCTGTGGTGTTTGGACATCACAGGATGGGAGTGGAAATAAAAGGATTAATCACAAAGATGAGATGATAAAGAGCAATTGTTTTGATGTCATTTCCTGTAATTAGCCTTAACCTCAAGGGTTTTGAAGATCATTGGAAATACAAGAATGTGACTTATAACCTGTGTACTTAGAATTTTGTTGTAGTGCTCATTTTGTGTTAGCTTAAATATCTAGATATATATATATTTATAGATATAGCTATCTGATGGTTTTCGTATTCCATTGTAAATTGCCTCTGCCAGTCAATTAGGCAGGCAGGCAGGACATCCCACCCTGGCAGAGCATCAGTGTAAGACTCTTCTTTCTCAATTTTCCCTCAGACACACCATCCTGAGAAGCCACTTTTTCCTACCACAGGAAGCCCAAGAGAACACTATAGCTAGCAGTCTGACAGCCAAACTGAACCCTGGCCTTTTGTATCCTGCCAGGTTTGAAAAGCTGGACATCACCCCTAAAAGTGCCCAGAAGATAAAGCCGGTGCTTGAGCGGTGGATGGCTGAGGCTGAGGCCCGCCATCGAGCAGGTATGCAGAACCTTACTGAGTTTATCGGAAGTGAGCCATCCAAAAAGCGCAAGAGGCGTACCTCGTTCACGCCACAAGCCCTTGAAATCTTGAATGCCCACTTTGAGAAGAACACACACCCCTCTGGGCAAGAAATGACAGAGATTGCAGAGAAACTGAACTATGACCGGGAAGTAGTTAGAGTTTGGTTCTGCAATAAGAGGCAAGCACTGAAGAACACAATTAAACGTTTGAAACAACACGAGCCTGCAACAGCAGTTCCTATGGAGCCTTTAACAGACTCTCTGGAAGAAACCTCCTAAAAAAACCAAACCAAAACAAAACCAGACACAAAAAACCCCACACCAACAGATACATAACCATTCAAACTCTGTGAAAGCACCTGTTCCATCATCCTTGTAAGTAAAAGACTGAGAAAACTACAGGAAGGACAGAACAGTTTATAAATGTCCGTGGGTTTTCCTATTAAAAAAACCACAAAGAAACACACAACAGTTAGTGTGTGTGTGTGTCGTAGAATTAGTTCACACATAAAAGAAAAAAGCCAGTTTTTTTTTAAATGGACTTAAAGGAAACCAAATAACTGCTTACGTTTTTGCTGTATACTATGAAAATGTAAACACATTTTAAGGAAAAGCAAAACAAGAAAAAAAGAAAAATGAAACACCCCACTTTTATCTGTTTAAAAGTGCATACAAGCCTGCCACCTGGAGGAATGATCGCAGCCTTTCAGGTATCAAGTGCTGATTCTCTATGAAAACTATTAACCAAAGTCAGAAACATGGCATTGCAAACTAGGTTGTTAGTCTACTCTTTTATGAGTGTAAAATTGTGTTACAGATTTTTACATTTGTATTTTGTAAAGAGGAAAACAGCAGGATTAATTTCTCATCCTTGTTCACACCCCCCAGCAGGTGTGAACAAACAAGTGTTAAAGCCATTCCATAGTGGTCCCCTCCCCTTTCTTTTCTTTTAGACAACATTTTTGTAATATCCAAGTATTTTGCTGCCAAAAGTAATTTCTTTTTATGATGATTTGTGGGATTTGGTATTTCTCTTCCAAGACTGTATGTCTTGGTTTGACTTTCTTCCCTTTTTTTTTTTTAATGATTCTTTTTGCTCCCTGTCCCGCCCCAGCTAATTCTCCACCCCTTTCCTCAAACGCACATAGCCCAGTGCTGTTTGAAGATTTTTAAAAAGTGAAATCTGAACACTTTCATATTGATATGATGAAAGAGAGGACAAAGGATTAAGATTATGTCAGCCTACGCTGGACATTGTGCTTATTGTTAACTGTGTAGCTTGGGTGTTCTCTGTCTTTGGCCACGAACCCGGAGAGGTTACACAAACTCATTTTGTAGTATAAATATAAAATGCACACTTGATTCAATACTCCATCTCTGTTATGGTTCTCTTTGAAGCAACTTCTCTTCAAAGTCTGCTAGCCAAAGAAATTTCTTGAGGTTCAGATGCAAACAAACGGACAGACCAAGAAATTACAAGGGTGTTTTAGTTGTTACATCACTATGGACTGTTTCAATGGTAGTGCTTTGTTCCTTCTGCTTCTTTTTTTATGTCATCCCTATATTATTGCTTGCTCTGTTGACGTCTTCAGTAGAAGGACATGTTTCTGCAGATGTTTGCTGTGACCACTGGCTAGAGTAAGCAATCAGGATATAGGGAAACCCTATATCTTTATATATCCTGAATACCTCTAGGGAATAGTAAGGTAGGTCACCTGCTTTATGTTTCAGGTGAATTGATTTTCCTTGAAGAACAACTTATCTCTGTGGCTTCCATTTTGATTGGACAAGCATTTTCTAAAATACTGTGGTTATTGGACCTACAAGTATACCAAGGCTCAGAGGGAGAGAAAGGTGTTGCAGGTTCTCTATGGGATATGGGCTGACCCATGAAGGTCACCTGCAATTTTCATCTTCTGCCAAGTTCTGGTCCAGCCTTTGGGATCCAGCCCACTATTAGGCTGCATCTTGATGAGGACTTTCCAAAAGATAACATGGGAATTTGGTTCAGCTCACTGTAGAGAAGGCAGAGTAAAATTCTGGTGGTAGAACTCCTGATTGCATTCACTGACCTCAGGATGGTTTTCCTGGTCTACCCAGGACACTGAAGAAGATCCACAAAGTGCTGGAGTCTTCAAATAATACCTCTCTTACAGAGTGTTCAAGAACTCAAGTGAAACTTAGTGAAAGAAAGGGACCTCCACTGAATCTGGCCCTTGCTATTCTATTAATAGGACTTGCCTTGTATAATGGGGTATTTGCTGCATGGTTGGTGGAGTTTTAATGCTTCAGAGCCAGAAAGTGCCTCTAAATGTGAACACTCTCAAAGGTCAAGGTTGGAGAGCACAGAGGACCCAGTACTCCAGGCTGGGCTCGTGTCCGTCAAATGCATTTCAGACTTTAAGCTTCAGCAAGGGTATGTTTAAGGATATTTGCAGTACTGTTTTTACAACGAGGAGAGTGAGAATTGTTACTGACTCTTTTCTGACTATTGATACATCAATATCTGCCAGAGCAAAAAAAACACCTCAGTAACTACAGGCAAATTGTGAGGGACCAAAAAGGCAAGCATGTGAAGTCTCACAGCAACATGTGTCATGTCCCAAGCTTTCAGGATGATCATAGAATCATAGAATGGCATAGGCTGGAAGGGGCCTTAGAGATCATCTAGTCCAACCTCCCTGTTATGGGCAGGGACGCCACCTCTCGACTAGACCAGGCAACACATGGGAACTGAGCGGGAACAGAACCCGCGACCTCGGTGTTGGTCATTGTTGCCAGCACCATACTCAAACCACTGAGCTAACTGGCCCCCTTGATGATCACTCAGGTTCACTGATTCCGAGGCTGGGATTAAGTTGAGTCACACCAAAGATTCCAACACCAGTTTTATTTATCAATCACCTAACAACGATGCATTTCAGTCATCCACTTAACGCAATCACTACTCCTCACAACAACGAGCAAAAGAAATCACCTTGCCATAGCTAGCCTTTTGTTGAAGTCAGAAGGAGAGAGAAAGAAAGTAATAGAAAAAGGAATTATCACCACCCTTGGATCCAGCCACATCTCCAAGTGGTGGGTGAAAAAGCCCGTGGTGATCGCCTTTTATACAGTCAAGTTCTTGCCACACAGGCCTTGTGGAAAATTACTGGGAACCAGTCTGGGGGATGGTGGAGGCTTCTGAGGTGGGGTTACCCCTCCTATCCTGGCTTCTTGCAGCCACAGCTCCCAGCCCTACCTACCCCCACAGCTCCACCGGTGCAGGGCTTGGGCAGGGGTTCAGTAAAGTGCTGAGTCACCCCCACACCAACACAAACAGGGGCTGGGCAGGTGGCTCTGGCTTGTTTGGGTTCAGAGAAAACCCAGACTGGTTGAGACATTTATTTAGTCCCTGACAACATCTGCCCTTCTGGGTTTTCTGCTTTCCTCTCTATCCAGCGACACCCACATCCACAGATACCTGTATGTTACCTATACCAAGCAAGCCCTCAACTTGTGGCCAGAATTCATTTTACATAATAGTCAGGAGACCACCCAGAAGCCAATAGGGAAGCAGGGAAGAACAGGCTACATTTAGAAGCAGACACTCCTGAAGTTCTACCCTTGTGTCCAGTACTTTGCTAATTGTCTAGTCATTAATGTCACATCACAATTATCTGTTCAGATACCCCTGAGACTGTACAACGTGCACCCTCCCATCCTCAACAGCCTGGCAACAAAACAATAAATCATTCTTTGCCTAAAAACTAAATTTCCATTTCTCCCAGGGACTGCTCTAAATTTTGCAAAGAAAAATCCCCAAGAAGAAAAGCTAACTAAACAGCTTATGAAAGATAGTAAATGTTTAAAAGTATACTGGCAGCAATTATATAAGCTCTTTACTGTTCCAAAGTACATATTGGAAGGATATAACTAGAACAGTGAATATGTAAAATAAATATAAATTACCAGCTTGGAAGTAAAATTGATGTTCATCACATAGTCTTAAAACCATTGATGTGCAGCGATTTTTTTTACAGTTTTCTAATTTTGTATTATGTTTTGTAAATTATTTATAAAGTGTTGTAATGCTTATATTAATTTTTTTATAGAGAAATTTTTGCTATGAGGCATAAATGGTGCCTGAACAGATTCTTAGGAAGATAAATTACATGTGAGTCATACATCTTTGGGAGGGCCATTAATACTTTGTTTTCTTTTGTTATTGGCAACATTTCTGATTTTCATTTATAAACAATTTTCATGTATTGGTTATATTTGAATATATTTTAATTTTGCATGTGACTGAAAGATAAATGAAGCAAAAGACTCTTCAGTCATATGTGAAGGTTTAATGGTTTTCCAATTTATTGATCACTGAAATTTTTTAAAAATATATATAATTATTATTTGAATAGTGAGCCAAGGGTTCACTTACTCTTCTGATTTTTTCTTTTTATGTTTTTCACTGAAAAACTATTTTGGACAGTTAAAGAAATCAAATGGTTCCTGTTTCTTTACGTTATTATTAAAAAAAAATAAAATAAATAAAAAAAGGGAGAACAAGAAAGTAAAAAGGAGCTAGGAAGGAACAAGTAGAGGCGTATCAAAGAACTCAAGCTATAACCAAAAATAAATATGTAAAATGCCTTTGCTCGTCTTCTCAATGCTGGACCAAAGCTCAATGTATGTAGGTATATGCACATTGTACAGATATGGCTAAATGTTGCTGACAATCTCGCAATACTAAACTGTTACTATTAAAAAAAAATACAAAAATAAAACTGCTCATCAGTGTTTTACCTCAGCACACTACTTGTACACAGTTATTGACCAACATTCAGATAAGAAGATAAGAGAGGAAATTGATTTCCATGTCAATGTTTGACTGTAAAATCTATTTGGAGAACATTTTGTAATGAGCTTTTTGTCATGTGATTTGCTTGTTTCCAACTTGAGATTATGTGGGGCACATTTATTATTTATTGTTAAAAAGTGATATTATTAATTATTATTATTACTATTATTATTATTTTTGTCTTATGTACTCTAATCTACAGAATGGTCACCAGGGTCACTTATGAAGCACTGCAAAGAGATCTGTTTTTCCATGCATGGAGCATGCAGCAGGAAAGATGGCAGTACAAAATGGACTGTGTTGTGTTGTTAAAATATTACAAAAGGAGTTGATGTGATGGACTTGTGACCAAGAAACTAAACTGGATATTTAAAAGCTCCTTACTACTCTGACTTTGAAACCAAAGCTGATATATCTGCACAAGTTGCTTAACATGAAAAAAACAAAACAAAACAAACAAACAAACAAAAAAAACCAAACTCTAAACGTGAC